ATCAGAAACAAGTGAAACTAGTTGTAAGCACAGGTGAGACAAAAGTGAAAGCATTTTTAGTGGATTAGTTCTCGCTGATAAGATAATACGATCACTGTAAAATGCCACCCATGCTTCAAAAACACAACATGAAATCACTTATATTGAAATTATTGATAGGCTTCATCTACAGTTTTTCCTCAGAACTCACAACTTCTCTTGATATTTCAGCGGTGATAAATCTGTGGAAACGAGTGTTATGAGAAGCGTTGTGGTTTGAGCTCAGTCCTGTTCCTACACGTCTGTGAGGAGCTTCAGTTCAGACAAGGTGTGACCTGACGTTACTCAATCTCCAACTGAAATTTTTCCCATAAACCCTCCTCACCCTATACTTTCACGGAAATTCCCACTTTAAAATGACATCAGCAACTTCCTCTACTTCCATAATTAACTGATATTCATACCTTCTTGGGTTTTGTTTATTTAACACATATCGACTACATAAATAGGATATCGCTGGGTTGTAATTTTACTACACTGCTTATAGTATGTCAGATGGTCTGATTACCAATGCTGTGGAACATTTACAGGTTTATGGCAGTGGTGTAAAGTATTTGAGTAAATGTCACCGTAAACGTTTGCTAATATCTTATACTCAGTCAAACTACAATGTTAACTCTCATTGACTACATTTTTGAATAAGTATATGTAGTCTTTATGAGTAATGCAATTACTTGTTACATTTTGCACTGCACCTAACTTTTTCTGAACCAGTTTATTTCTGCTACAAAAGAAGCAATATCGCCATCTACAGGGCATTGAAGGTACTATATGTTGAGTGTTTTGGATGGGGGATGTTGGATGGGGGATGGGGGGTGTGGTGGTGGTGGTGTGTGTGTGTGTGTGTGTGTGTGCGTGCTTGCTTTCGGGTTAAGCGTTCCGTGACTGCGCAACTGGGGTATAGGTTGCCAGGCTGAGATGACAAACGGGTTGAAATTGTATATGGTGTGTGGATTGTGTGAATATAATGCATTTAATACACGATCTGGCAACTGGTCAACATTAGACAAACATATTGGTCCGTCCGATTATTCATAAAGGAGTTTGGGACATGCAAATTACGGGAGTTTCCCGGAAGAAATAACAAACCGGGAGGCGATATTTTTTTTCACAGGATGGTAGGGGAAGACTCATGAATATTCATTAGGGAACTCATCCCTGATTGGTCTGATGACCTACCCCTAACCCCGCCCCTAAACCTACCCGTCACTGGGGGTCTGATGACTTACCCCTAACCCCGCCCCTAAACCTACCCGTCACTGGGGTTAAGACCAATCAGGTATGAGTTCCCTAATGAATATTCATGAGTCTTCCCCTACCATCCTGTGAAAAAAAATATCGCGTCCGGGAGATAGGGCTAAAAAACGGGAGAAACCCGGGAAAAACGGGAGTGTTGACAGGTATGACTTACCCAAACTTGTCAACGAGGCTACTTTACATGAATGCGAGTGAATTAGCAGGTAGTTGCTGAATCGCAGGCGTTTGATTTATAAGATGAGGACCGTGATGTCAGGACGTCTAGTGCAAATAGGCTTTGACTATTTCCTTTTACGTAACATTATTTTGATTATTCGTTATATTAAAGAGAACTTTTTGAAGGATTATGCCATTTTTAGCCAAAATCACAAAACCTGTGCCGTTTTCTGGGACTTCGCTTCAGCAGAGCGGCAGTAGCTCATTAGCATTTCGCCTCTGCGTTGTGGGCGGAGCCGTTGGCATGGAGACGACCCTCCCCCTGCCCGTTGCTGAGAGCTCTGTCTCTCCCGCTAGCTTACACCCCCAATACCGATGGGGCAACAGTATTATATACACGTTAATTATTATTATCCGAAATTAATCAAAGTTATCACCGATCATTATTTCACTCCAAGACGTCGCGTGTGGAGACGCCCAGTGGAGTTACTACGTCACAACTCCAGTCGATTTTAGCCGGCATTTTAGCGTCTGCTACTGATTCACAGCCATTTGAATGTAGAAATACTCAGAAATACAACTTTGAGCTTATTTTGCTCAAGATATGTCCTCTAACATCAGAAAAATGCCACAAGAACATGTTAACACCTAGAAAAACATTATTTTCATCGGAGTGGGTCTTTAAGCTTAACTAAATCTTGAGTAAAGAGGCTGTTGTGTAAACCTCGATTTAACGAAATAAAATACTTAAGTACTGTTAAAATCAAATACTCTATAAGGGGCTGTTTACACGACGCAGTTTTCAACTAAAAACGTAGGCTACAACTTTTTATGCATCTTGACCGTTCGTTTACACGTCAATGGCGTTTTGGGTGCCTGAAACCGCAAACCTTGAAAACGGGTTTCAAAGTGCAAGTTTTTAAAAAACGCTCTCTGAAGACGATGACGTCATGCACATGCGTATTACGTGTTCAGTCTATAGTGTTTCATCGCCATCTAATGGCCTGGCAGCAGAACACAGCGCTTTTAGTCGTTTTCGCAGATCCGTGTGAATGGGGATCGTTTTGACAATGGTGTCGTCTGTACGCAGAAAACTCAAAGGAAAAACTTCTAAGCATATCGATATCGTTGTCGTGTAAAGGTACCCTAAGACTTTTACTAACGTTGCATTGGAATCGGTGACTTGTCATTTTGGCTGTAAGGTATCTGTACTTTTACTCAACTATGATTTTCAGGTAGGCCTACACTCTTTACACTGGTTTATGGGACATGTCATGCGCTCTAGGGTTTCCCCAGAGGGTTGCTTTCTATTTTGTGAACATTAATGATTGACGTAAGGGCAGGTCCGGGCGGGTCAGTCAAGGTGAGGCACATGACGTGTCTCCGGTTTGGCAGAATAGCTTTAGGATCATCTGGATCTCACTTTAAGATCAATGACGGTGTTGTTGGCCAGTCAAAGTCCGTTTTTACTGATGTTGACCGTTGTCTTTGTGAGGAATTTCTTCAGTGCCTCAGGGGAATCGTAAGATTATTGACACACTGTATGACATACACTGCATAATTAAAACAAAGCATTGGCCAAGGCTCTTGTGGGTAACCATATACAGCAAGAAAACAACCTATACTATACAATTACATATTAATGCTTATATTGTATATAAGCCAGGATTTGGATATACTCCATGCCAAGAATATAAAGTTATGTTACACATATATAAATGAGACTAAAATAAACGGACAAAAGGTGTTAGAAATATTGCTGGTGGATAGTAAAATGTGTATTAGGCAAATGGGCAGATGAAGTTTAATATTAAATGGAGCAAATTTTATCTAAATATATACATAAATGAAAAAAAGAATATAAGAAGATATGACAATGTAATGAATATTTACAGATTCAAAACTTTTCGTTGATTCCTGTTCGTTTTAAAACAAACATGACTAGAATTGATTTAACTATGATAATAAGTCAGTGGAAACAGAAGAGGAAGTGGCTGTTTTAACGGTTTCACAGTCCGGTTTCTGATATGATCAGCAGGAGAGGAAAGTGTCCACAGCCAAAACTGTAATGAAGAGCAAGTCAAACCGAAACACAAATGATTCTAAATGAAATATGCAAATCGTTTAACTTCATGTTAGATGTGAAAATTAGCACCAAAAAAAAAACAGTACAAAAACAGACCTGACAGGCAACAATTCTGATGACACGTACCAGTACTTGATAATAAAAAGTTAAAACAGGCTCGCAAGCAAGACAGCTCAAAAAAAGAGAGAAAAAACTAGACACAAACGTGGTCACATTGAATCTATCGAGCTGTTCAACCATGGCATCAATTTGTAGACCACGGAAGACTAGTTTACCAAAAGTTCACTCTGAAACTCACTCTAATGCGTACAATAGTGGTTTTCAGTTGTAGTTGTTGAGTAAAACAAGGTCTGTGGTTAACATTACTTTCACGTCTTTGTTCTACCACATAGATTACACAGTCACCCGATAAACCTCAGATATAAATTCTGAAATAATTTTGTGCTTTTGAAGCATAAGTTGCTAGATAAGGATTACAACTACACTGTAAAAATAAAAGGTGCCTGGAAGAACCACAAATAATAGAATAGAATACACAAAAAAATGGTATAATACAAAAGCAACATGAATAATCAACCATGTACATACAATAATTGTATATATATTGATGATTATTCATGTTGATTATATATTATACTATTTAGGCTATACAAGAAAAAACATCTCAACAAAATGGATGGAAACACATATTAAGCTTGTTAAGTCTGACGTCACTGTTTCCAAATCCAAAAGCTCTATCAGGTGCCAAAAACAAACAACAAACGGTGCTAATATACACTTGTTGTCCTGTAATATTCCTGAAGATTATGATCCTAACTTTTATCTCTATACCGAAATATCAGATGGTTAGTTATTCAGCTATTTTGATTGGTAAAATATCGAAGTCTGGGATGCCGTGAGACGGTAATGTACACTATGGCTTTTGAAAAGCTTAAATGTGTGACATGAATCAACAGTGCTCATAAATGGCTGTTGAGTATTCTCACTAGAAACAAGATAGAGGAAGTAGAAGTAGAGGCTTCGACCCAGACACAGTATTCCTTATATGTCACAACAAGCAGAAAATATTTTAACAGAGTTAAGGTGCAGTAAAATTAGCTGTTGTTCTGTGAATTTTCACTGGTGAATTCCAGTCATTTCCATAAGAGTCCACACGATCTGCAATTTCGTGCGTGGTCAAAAATCTCACTATGGGACCAAGTTGGTCACTGGAATTCGCTGGATTGACCAACACAAAAATGCTTGAAAAAGTGACTCCTGTGTGAGCTGTGCTTCATACATTACGTCGCTACACTGCTGACAATGGACCTTTTTGCCTGTGTAATTTCACGAAATTCACAAATGTGACCGCACCTTTACTCGCTGCAACATAAAATGCAATCAATAATAAAATCTTCACAAGTGACATGTGAGGTACTTAACGAGTTAGAAAAGTGAAAAGATGCAGCAGCTTCGTTTTCCGTTCCTCTTTTCTGGTGGATGGTCCAGGCACTTCAATGATTTTCAGGTCTACAGGAGGATTTTTATTCTTGTTCAAACTTGTATTTCAGCTTACCGAGATCCCTGCAAAGTACAACATGTACTTTTAGTAATGTTATTAAAGTGATAGTTGTGAAATTAAAAAAATGTCCTCAGCCTTGTGACATTCCTAACCTGTTTGACTCTGTCTGTGGAACCCAAAAGCAGATCTCGGGCATAATGCAACCCCAGTCCGCTTTCACTGCATGAAAAACAAGCAGAAAAAAATTGTGTAATTCATTCATGAAACCATTCTTATGTACACTTGTATAGCGCTAGTTCAATTCAATGCAACAATTTATGCAAAAATTGATAAATATTCTGTTAAGCTCCAAAAATGTCCTAGAATATCCTAAAAATAATCAAATGATTCCACAACTCATGTGTTATGGGTTGTGTTGTAAGTCTTCTGAAGCCATATAATAGCTTCTTTTTTGGGGGGGGTCTAAAAAGACTAAACTTGAAGTTATAATTCAGAGTTCAAATGTCTTATATCCAAAGGCACTAAACTTGTTATATTATTTTACATGTAAAAATAACATGAATGAGATTTGAGAGCATGAGGGAAGATTTTCAGAGAATAACTGATTAAAAAACACAAGTAGGCCTACACACTCAAAGAATAGGCTACAATTTCACACAGAAAAGTTCATAGTAAAGTACTTACATGTGGTGCAGGCTAAAACCTTCATATCACATAGGCTACTGCAATAAACGAGTGGTAACACTGTAAAGACGTAATGTATAATACATTTAGTTACATGTGTTTGAATATATAGTGAGTAGACTCACTGAATATATAGCCTATATATATTTCTTTGGCGAGTTTACAAACCATGTAACGGAGAGCCGAACAAACAGCCGAAGCTTGGTGAGGGGGAGCCGTTACTTTAAAATCCGATGACGATCAGCTGATCTGAATTGCGCGCGAGCAGCGCGAGGATCACTGAAGATGACAGCAGAGGAATAGCAGCAGTTTCGTGACGGAATAAAACTTTTCTCCTCCTTTATATTATTATTATTTATTGTTGTTGTCGTTTAAGGTTTAAATTAATCAATAAAATATACTAAATAAATGTAAGCCTATGTATACTGAATCCAACATTAAATAAACACTGGATCCATTTCTAACGCTTTCTCTTCTCTTCACCTTTATATCTTAAAAAAAAACTTAAGGTGATGATACACAGGGCAACTTTTTGAGCAATGTTGCTGGGCAATCTTGCCGAGCAATTGTTGCTTGGGCACTTTCCCATTGAAAATGGGCAATAAATATCTATCTGGATAATTTAGATCGGTCGAGGGCCCTGTGTCTCATCTGGTTGCCGTTTGGCGGCAACATTGCCCAGCAACATTGCTCAAAAAGTTGCCCTGTGTATCATCACCTTTATTCTGCGTCAGACTAAACTGGGAAGGGTCACAGCATTGAAAGCACTAAATGATTAAATGTAGCCTAATAATAATAGGATTGTAAAAATCTTATCGTGGCCTCACAGAACCGTTCCTCCAGATGCTGGCTTTAACATAAGACATCTTCCAGGAACCACTTAAATGTTAAAAGATCTTACAATAACCCTTTTATAGCATTCGATCCTCGAATTTCCCCCAAAGCACTTTGAGGTCTCATGGTAATGGAAAAGTGACTCCAGAACCTCTGAACTGAATACAAAGTGCTTAACGGATCCCATACGTTCCAGCAAGAACCGCAAAGATTGTCAATTTTTTATTATTTTATTTCACCTTTATTTAACCAGGTTAATTGGTTGAGAACAAGTTCTCATTTGCAACAACGACCTGGCCAAGATAAGGTGGAAGGTGCAAGGCGACATGAAATTAATTACACATAGTGTACAAACATTCAAGTATACGGTCACACATATAAAGATGTTAAAATTCAATAAAAAGGTGCTGGGCATTACGTGCAGAAATCAACAAAAATTAAAAAGGTATAAGTTATTTAAAATGTCAAATGGCAATACAAGCGGAATAGCAGGAGGATAAATAACGTGAAGCAACATGACTAACATGGTAAAGTGCAAATTGTTTCAAAGATTGCTATTCAGTTGGATATGTGCAAGATGCATTAAAGCTTTGTTAAATGTGCTAGGGCCTTAGAAGGCAGAAATGTCATCATGTGCAGCGGTCTGTTAATAATTTTGAAAGTAATGCTTTAAAAGTAGTGATAGGAATGGTAGATTCTAGTTTAAGAGATGTTTGTAGATTGTTCCAATCATTTGTAGCAGAAAATTGAAAAGACAGGCGGCCAACTGAGGTGCGAGTAGAGAGATATATCTACTCGAGCGCAGGATGAGTGCACTGCTATAGATATTAAAGAGCTTAGGTAAGATGGTGTTTTGCCTAGGGCTGGGCGATATGGAGCAAAAAATATATCTCGATATATTTTGCTATATCTCGATATTCGATATATATCTCGATATCTTTACAGGAAAATGGATGTGAATACAACTCAAAATATAGGCCTACAATCAATAGAAAATTAATTTCCCATAACAGAATGTAACCAAATGAGAAAAATTAAACACAGGGCCTGAATTTCGTCATCATTATTAATCACGTGATTCATATACAGAAACTGAATTAAGAAATCAAATGGAAAATAACACTGAGTAGTATTTTAGTCCTGAATAAATTAAATACATAGGTTATTAATCCTGATTCCTTTAACTTAAAGCTATCTTTTGTTGTATTGACAGCAAAATGAATGACACACATATGGCTGCCGTCACTTTAAGAGCTAGTGCACGGATCCTGTGTTCATTATACTGGCATGCGTTTTATGCTTATTAAAGACAAAACCGACTATGTTTAGAGTATACTCACGACGACCGAAATTGACAATTTTGCGTGTTAAAGCAATATAATCCGCGAAAAATAACTTTTGTTACTGGCCAGCTGTTCTTAAGGCGGATTCTCTATGAATGTGCGCATAGAAAATAATCTCTCAGAGAGCGCGCGAGCACTGATTAGTTTAAAATCGCTTGAATGTTTAAACTGGTAAGACTTAAAAAGACGTGCAAATAGTAAACTTCAGTCACGATGCACTGCTGGCCCGATTGTGCGAGTGAATATCCATCATGTCCCGACTACTAAACGCGAGTGTGTATTATCGCCGCAGCTCTTGATGCTTGCCTTGCACAACACATTATGAGAGACGAGAAAGAAGCGGCACCGCTGAACACTCACGCTGTTTGTGAAATTGCGTCTGGCAGATAGTTGTTAAAAGAATGATTTGATTTTATAATCTGTGTGGATTACGATTGCGGGAATTTCCCGCATTATAAATGGGAGACCTGCGGGAATGATTAGAATTATGCGCAATACCCGCGCCGAAATTCGAGCCCTGCAATAGTTTAAAACAAGACGTTTGTAGTAGCCTTCTGATTACTGGAGTCCATTAATTGAACTTCCATGCCTCTTATATAGTAATTATATATTGTAGTATGTAGGCTACCAATTTACTAATGCAATTAATGCTCACACTCGGTTTCTCTCGTGCTCTGTCGCTCGCGCGCAGACACACTCGGAGTTCTGTAGCCTCCGGGCTGGTTGCGGATGAGACAATTGTTGAATGAGACAACACGCGAGGTGAGGGGGAACAAAAGCAAGGAGGCGGGGGCGAGCACAGCACAGAGAAGGCAAACTAGCAAAGTGGCAAAATCAGGATTAAATATAAACAATATATCGATATATACGATATGTCAAAATCCATATCGTGTTTAAAAAATATCTCGATATATTTTAAATATCGAGATATCGCCCACCCCTAGTTTTGCCTAATAAGGACTTGTAGATTAAGTGATACCAGTGGCTTAGGCGCCTGGTGTGTAACGAAGGCCATCCAACTAGTGAGTAAAAAGTGCAGTGGGTGTTGTATCTAAAACAATTACAAAACGTGTAACTACCCAACGGGTGTTGGGTAAACAACATCCAATTTCTTGAGGGGAGAATTTGAAGCAGTTCTGTAGACAACGTCACTGAAGTCAAGCATTGGGATGATGGTCATTTTCACAAGGGCATGTTTTGCAGGAAAAGTAAATGAGGCCTTATTTTGGAATAGAAAACCACCAATGCTCCACCAATAACCCTACTAAAGGAGAAAGAGCTTTGCTATATTTAGGCACTTAAATTACATTTTTAAGTTCATTGAGTATCCAACAGGATATTTGACCCAGCCAGCACAGCCATGTGGGGCCCACATGGGTTAGACCTGGGCTATCTAACTGGGACCCAGACAGTTTTGCTCCCGGTTTCCATGTAGGCCCCACATGGGTTTGCCCAGATGAAATGAACACTGCTCAGTGTGCACACTATAGGCTGTTAAATGTAACACTGACCAGTGTTGGAGTTAATGAGATAATTAAGTGATTGAATAATGATTGAGCATTATTGAAGACACCTGATGTTAACAAGCAGAATCACTGAAGGAGAAAATCACAAATTGTAAGCCACCGGTATGGCGATCAGCGTTTGCTTTAGTTGGACTCTTGACCCTTAGACTGTCACTTTAAATTTTGTTTGTCTGCTGTTATTGATTTATAACAGTCAAATGAACAAAGAAAAGTGTGATCTTATAGTGTTGGTTATGTTTTGGTATAATCATACTGTGATCTGATAAATGAAACTTATTGAGATGGTTCAACTTCTGGTTCAACTTGTTAGCAACAGCTTTGTGATTCCACAGCATATGATTATCAGTATTTTTTTTAATCCAAAATATTTAATAAACATTGTTCTGATCAAAACACTTTCAAATGAATTTATTTAGAAACACAGACATCAATAATCAGTCTGTGAATCTCAACAATAGTGACAATAATAATGCATGTTGCAGTGGCTGCCACCAATCACAACTCATTACTGGCTCCCATCATGCATTGCGGTATGAATAAATTATGATCTGAATTGTCTATGTAATTTACTTTTCCTAATTGAATATTCTGCTCATCACCATTGTTGAGATGCATTGACTAAATCTTGACGTCTGGGTGTGCCTAAAAGAAAGATTTTTTTTTTAAAACAACTTTTAAGAAATCCTTTATATTATATCTAAAATTCTGGATATTTATGCAGAATCACAGTTATGCTGTAACCAACAGCATAAATCACTAAACATAAGGTTCAAATGATGACATAAATTTCATAATATAACCAACACCATTACATTACTTTTTTTTTTTTTTTGT